AATTCGAGGGGCAAAGGCGTCGCGAGCTAGAGAATTAGCCAGTTCGAGGTGAGTAATGGTTGTAAATGATGTCCCGAGGGTTTGAAACCCCGGATTGCACATCGTAGTACTATATTGAGGCAAGATACGCGCTGGATGATGAGCGTAAGGTCTTTCACTACTGGGGATTTTGACTTAGTCCATCCCGATTGATGACTTTACTGAATATTTGACTGAAATTCATTTGTTATCATCATGATTTGGGCTGATTGCCATATTTGGGCTTCGTGCCAACTATTTGAACCTTCCGAGGATTTTTATCACTGTTTCCTTACTACTTGACTTATTATTTGAATTCAGTCGAGTTGATATCTACTTTTTTACAAACTTAGCCACTTTTACTCAGATTTGAAACTTAAATGATATTTCTACATCATATTTTGGGCTGAGAACTACTGTTTTACTAATGCCCAAGGGGCTTATGATGATTTCTGGACTGAGTGAGGTCGAGGGCCATATGTGAGGATATGCTGAGTGATGATGCTACGAGGTGGCTTGATATAGCGCTTGGGCCGTAAGGGCCCCCCGGAGTCTGCACACCCACAGTGAGCGCGGGTACCCATGTGATTTGAAACAGTGGTCACAATGACACTGTATGATGCAATTTGGTCAGGTAACAATGGCTGACCATTATACTGAGTGATTGTGAGGTAGCCCGAGGGGCTGATACTGTACAGAGAGTGAGTCCGAGGGGTTGATACTATGCTGAGCGATTGATACTGTGCCCGAGGGGCGGATTTCTAATTGTTAATTACCTGTTAAATTACCTGTTTTACTTGTTGTAAAGAGGAATATCATTTGATTTCTTCACTGATTTTTTGCTTTAAGTGATTTTACTGCTTGATATGGAATTGCTTTGTGCCTTTATGTGTTTTCATACTTTCAACCATTATTTGTAATTATTACTCACTGAGTCGGAGTACTCACACTACTCCATGCACCGTGTGTGCAGACTCAGGTATAGCAGAGTCCGCACCTGAATGCTGATTCCTTCCAGGCTAGGCAGTGATTTGGAGTTACGAGGTAGTTGTTGACGTCTGCAGCCCCTTGTCTCTCTTATCCTCTATCATTTATGTTTTCTTCAAACTGTTGTATCGGATTCCATACTTGTATACCTATAGCAGATTCTATAGTTTCTCATGACTTGTGACACCCCGGTTTGGGCTGTGTCGGGATGGTTCCTGCTGTTATTATCGTTAAATTCCGCAATTTATGAGCATTATAATATATGTTATTACTGTTTATGATGATTAACTGTTTAAAAGAGGTGTTCCGTTTTGGTCTGGCTGGCCTTGTCTTCACGAGAGGCGGCATCACGATCGGGTTTGGGGATTGGGTCGTGACACCATTTTTTCTCCTGATAAAGTATAACAAATAAATCGTCAATCTATTTCAATATTTCCATCACCTATCTTGTATGTTAGCAAAATAACCATTCAAAAGAGAATACATATCCAAGTACCATCCTAAAAGCAAAGAGACCGGAAAAAAAAGTAGGAGAAAAATATTCCTTGCACACATTTATCATAAAAATGAGAGGTTCCTTCTTGTTCTTTTTCTATTGTACAAACATATTATACATTATTTTTTTTCCTTTTGCATAATTGGTCGAGTAAAATATTTCTAATAAATAATTTCAAAACTCATGATTTTGCGATTCTTTTAAGTAGTTATAGCTTAAATTTATCATCACATTTATCTGCTCAATTATAGAAAAATAATTAAAATAAAAATATTCGAGGACAACAATGTATGAGAATACTTTGAGGATAGTTTACCATATTTCTTTTATGTTAATAATTATATTATAAAGAAAGTTATGTTTAAGCAATAAAATTTAATTTTTTACACGAAGAAAATAAAAAGGATGGTAACAATACTTTTTATTAAAAATCATGTACTCTTTTCGTCAGCCTTGGCAAGTGCATAAAAAACTTGATTTTTATAACTTTTGGTTATTTTCGCTTCATGTTCTCCCCCAAAATCAGTATTTTACATTTATCACCGGAAATGTATAAGCAATAAAATTTAATTTTAACACGAAGAAAGTAAAAAGGGACGGTAATAATGATTTTTATCAAAAACATATTCTTTTCGTCAGCCTTGGCAAGTGCATAGAAAACATAATTTTTACCTTTGGTTATTTCTGCTTCATGTTCTCGTCCCCCAAAATCTTTTTTACATTCATCACCATAAATTTCTAGCATCTCCAAGAGCAAGTTGGAATACATTTGAATTTGCAAAACGTGATAGTACTCTATAGTATTTTTATATTTTAATGAAAATTGTCTTCAGCCAACTCTTAAAATTGTCTTCAGCCAACTCTTATGCAAAATGAACTTGTAATATCTGAAGTCTGATATGACTTTATAAAGAATTATTTTCACTACTGAAAAATGTAATACTACCAATAAGAATAATATAATTTATTATCTTAATTTCCCAATACACAAAAAGGTACTACAAGAAGAAGAAATCATTACGTCCATACTATTATACTGTTACCTCTGCAGCTAGGACATTTACAGTAAAAACATCATGTCCTATGGAAACCTTGGTGGGATTCATCTTGTATTCTCTGACAGCCTAAACTTTTCAAGGAAAAGAAACAAAAATTAAAAATTTGTTTTAGTGTAGAAAAGGGAAATAAAAGAACACTTATGGTGAAATGAAAACCTTTCGAGGAGAAATTTTTGTAATTGTTAACCAATAATAATATTGCTGGGCGTTGAATAAGTTTTATTGGGGGCGAAAATCCTTTAATGCACAAAATAAAAGATACCGGCATAAATCTAGTCTTACTACTTGACAATGAAAATGAAAGTCGTTATCCGCCTCCCCTTCTTCCAAATCCCCTAACATTGAAACCCTGTTAAACTTTAGAATAGAAAAATGTGTGAGAAAGAGTAATATAATGATACCAATTTAAGCACAATAAATACAGAAGACATACATAGTTACGAACGGAAGAGCAGAAGGTGCAATTAAAAGGATTAAGAAAAAGTCTTTTGGAATATGTGTGATTAAGAGGATTAATAACGTACCTTTTGAATTTTTTAATATTGCAAATGAAAGAAAGGCAAAAAGAATGAGGAAAAAAGAAAAATAGCATTTCTTGGTTGAGACTAAGAGGGTGTTTGGCTAAGCTTATAAGCTGGTCAAACTGGTTTATAAACAGTTTTTGGCTTATCTACGTGTTTGGTAAAATTAAAAGTGCTTATAAGTTAAGTGCTTATAAGTCAAAAGTCATAAGTTGGTCTCCCCCAACTTATCAAATTTTAGCTTACACTTTAGGTTTGACCAAAATATTTACTATTCTATCCATAAAATACTTCTTTTTAAAGCAAAACTCTTCGTATACCCAGTTCTTCAACTGCTTATAATTAATTTCACCACTTTTATTCAAACACATAACTGCTTATTTTTTAAACTAGCTTAAACACTTAAAAGTGCTTTTCAGCACTTAATGCTTATCAGCTACTCTAAATCAGCTAAGCTAAACGGGCCCTAATACTTATAATGGATGGAAAAAAATCCTCATCAGTTCTTGACTGCTGCTAAATAAGAAGTTACTGATTGTTAATATGCCCTTCCAGAATGTCAAGTTGGAACTGTTGGAGTTGTAATCGAATGGTTTAATTTTTTTTTCTTTTTAAAGAAAAATGAGCTAAAGCCCCCAAAACATAAGAAATTAGATAAATCCATTTTCCAGTCAATGAAAATATCATATCACCTTGCCAAGTCCCAGCATTACATAGATATATATATAAATTATTAATCTTGGAAAGAGAAGAGAAAATACTTTATACTGTTAGTCATTTTAGGAGGACGTAAATCAAAAAATGATAGGAAAAATAAAAATAAAAATAACTTGATAAAAAAAAATAAAAATAGAAGTGATCCGATTAAACACCAAGAGAACATGAAAGAGAACTGATTAATTTCAAAACCAAAAGGAAGGAATTTACCTCTAGCAATTGGAGAAATAAGATGAAGAGAACGTTACCACAAAGAAAAAACACACCACACTGACGGGCCTCTAACGTGGAAGGAAGAAAGGGAAAAGGATGAGGCATATTTAAAATGACTGTTGAAAGTGGCTTTTCAGTAAAGAAGGGCTTTAAAAGTGACGTTCCAAATTTTTAACAGAACACTTAAAAAAGGAGAAGGGCAAAAATTTAAGGAAGAAGATAAATAGTAATCCTAGTTTCTAAGAGGTGTCACATCATCTTCTTTTGTCCCTCTTTTATATAGATATATAGATAGATATAGATCGATAAAGAAATGAACCTTGAACCCAAATTAACTAGCTAGATATAATATTGCCAACCAGAGCATGAATAATATAATATGGGGCTCAATATCGAATAAATTAAGAATTGGGATGGATCTGAAATCTTGAACCTAATTTAACCTCAAAAATTATTTTAGTAACTAGCAGAGAATTATCCAAGATAATATAAGAAGATCTATTCCACATCTCAATGCTAGACTACTTTAACTTATTCGATCCTCTACTTTTTGCAAGTCTCTCCATGCAACTCACTTCTCTAACTTGTAAAAAAAGTGAACGACCAAGTCATGAATTTTGCGGTGAAAATTGAAACTCCAAGTGGTAAGCCGTAACGATAACTGCATCAACTTAGTGCAGAGAGAGAGAGAATCAATACCATATTAGTCTAACCTCAAAGCACATGTATGAGTATGAATGTATGATGTACGTTACCTTCTTCAAGCTCACGATACGACTATTTCACTTCTAATATTCTTTTTTCGTATTTCTTTAATAATGGTCAGCTCTAACTAAAAAGGTCTAGGTCCTTTGTACGTACATCACATTTCTCGTTAATCATGAAGTGGCACCCCTAGGAAATGTCACTTGTATATAAACAATATAGACGACTATGAAGCAAATTTGTAAAATATCAAAATGTCAAAACAAAGAAGAAATGTGGGGAAGTTGAGTACCAATACCCAAATTCTAAGTCAGTGTTGAAGTGCTAGGATATGACAGCTGTGCAACGTGAAAAGCTGAGGTAGAGGACTGAGTGACATGCAGTCACTTTAGCATAGTGTTAGTTGGGTATTAAAAGTTAATTGTAACAGATTTAGTTGTAGGTTTGGAGCTAATTAAGTGAGTTGGTTTTATGTTTATATATACAAATGTATATAGCAGTAGTGGAAACAAATTGTAATAGATTTTCTTTTCTCTCAATACACAGAAGATACAACTTCCCAGAAGCTTCTCTCCCTAGCCTTCGTCTTCATTCTTGGTTGAGCTTAATATCCACTCAATAATGGTGGATTTAACATGGTATTAGTGCTCAAGAGAATCTATCGAAGTTGAGACTTTGGCTTGAGAGTTGTTCTATGAAATTGTTGAGAGAATTTTCAATCGGTTCTTTGCTTATCCTCAAATCCCCAATTTCTGAGTAAATCTTTAATGACTACTTTGGACATTGATAATCCGCGACATTCATTGTGCGTAAAACCTTCATATGCGCTAGGAAATGTAATAATTTCAGTCTGATTGACTAGCAGCGAGAATTATTCAGTCTGGGGCAGAGCAATGAAGATCGCGTTGTGAGCCAAACAAAAATTAGGGTTTATAAATGATACATGCACTAAAGATCAATTCACTATTGATCTAGGCGAGGATTGGGAACGCGTCACCACCACAGTTTTGACTTGGATAATGAACACTATGTCGCCGGAATTAGTGAATGGGATAGTCTATGCCAGTAATGCTCATGAGGTGTGGAGTGATTTATAGGTTCGTTTTGAGAAAATCAATGGATCAAGGATCTACAATCTTCATCGCGAAATTGCTACAACTTCTCAAGATACCTCCAGTATTTCTGTTTATCATTCTAGACTTAAACTGTTGTGGGATGAATATAATGCTCTAATTCCAACTCTGCATGTAACTCCTGAAACAAGAGAATTCATAACACACCTAGAACAACAAAAGCTTTTTCAGTTTTTAATGGGATTAAATGATAGCTTTAGTGCCATTAGAAGTTAGATGCTACTCTTGTCCCCTCACCAAGTGTGAGTCATGCATATACTATGCTAATTCATGAGGAGAGCCAAAGGAAAGTTTGTATGACCAATACACCTATGAATGAGGTGAATGAATCTACTGCTTTAATAAATTCAAGAGATAACCCACAGAAGTTCAAGAGATATAAAAATCTATATTGTGAGTACTGTAGAACCAAAGGCCACACCAAAGATACTTGTTATAAGTTAGTGAGCTACCCACCTGGTTTCAAAGGAAAGAGGAAGCAAGAGTATCTACAAGCCAATGAAGCCATGAGTGATGGATTTCATACAAAGGATGACATGTTTCAGGTAGCCACAACTGCAGATTCTAATGTAGCAAGACAAGGAATGCACAATTATTTCACTGATGAGCAGTACAACCAGATAATGAAGCTATTTAATCAGGACAAAGGAGAAGAGTTTGAAGCAAATATGGTCGGTAACATTGATTCACAATTGACTCAACCATGTGACATTCCTTGGATCATTGATACATGGGTAACAAATCAATATGACTTCAAATATTAACTTGCTGACTGATATAACTAAATTACCTAACTCCAAAGGAGGTAATGTTCATCTGCCACATGGAAAATCAGTACTAGTTGTGTACCACAGAAAGTGTAGTATCATAGGTGGTGAATTAATTCACAATATGTTGTGTGTGACGACTCAGCCAATCGTCTTAAGAATTAATGCCCCGATCCCCTATTAACTACTTTTCCCAAGTTTATTTCTGCTAATGTGATTTGCCGGGATGCTCAGTTTTGAGTTTTGAGGAGTTTTGGGACGCTTAGTCCCTAAATGAGAGTTTAAGTGTTAGAAAGTTGACCGAAGTCGGAACAGTGGGGAGACATCCTAGGAATGGAAATCTGACGGTTTCGTTAGCTCTGTTAGGTGAATTTGGGGCTGGGAGCGTGTTCGGAATGTGTTTTGGAGGTCTGTAGCTAATTTAGGCTTGAAATGCCGAAGTTTGAATTTTTGAAGTTTCCGGTCCGATAGTGAGATTTTGATCTGAGGGTAGGAATGGAATTACGGAAGTTTCAATAGCTCCGTCATGTCATTTGGGATGTGTGTGCAAAATTTCAGGTCATTCGGGCGAGATTTGATACAGTTTT